TTTATTTTGAGGTAGATTCTCCTTAAGTCACTAAGTTGCTCAATCTTGTGATCCTCCTGCCTCAGCTCTCGGAGTACTGGGATTATAGGTGCTTACCACCCCACCCAGCTTCCTTCCTTCTTCTTTCCTTTTTTTGGTTTCTCTTTCCCTTTTCCTCTCCTCTCCTTTATTTTGTGGTTATGTAAACCTAAGAGCTTTGTACTGAGCTATATCTTCCATCATTTTCTCTTTTTTCTTTTAAGACAGGGTCTCACTAAGACACTAAGTTGCCCAGGCTGGGCCCCAACTTGCAATCCTCCTGTCTCCACTTCAGAGTGCTGAGATTACAGGTGTAATCTCATCCTTTTTCTTTCTACTGTCTATGGTGGAAGTTTAGATTACTAGTTTGAGATATTTTTCTAGCACAAGTCTTTAATAGTCTCCATCTCCCCCTATATGTGGCTTTGTTTGGTCTTATTCTGCAAATTTGGATAGGTAGAGTTTTTCTCTTCACTCATTCAAAGATCTTATTTAGTTTCTCTGAGAGTTCTCTTCTCTGTGGATTATTTTTAAGTATGTTGTTTTAATTTCCGCATGTTTTGCGGTTTCTCCTGTCATCTGTCTCTTAACAACTTCCAGTCTGAGTCAATTGTACATGCAGAGCATATTTTGTATACCTTCAAGTTTTTAAGTCTTGCTGGTGTGTGTTTTACAGTCAAGGCCATGCCCATCCTGGTGTGAGCTCTGTGTGCACGAGGAGGGACCATGTGTCCTACTCCTGGGAGCGGGGAGGTGCTTAGTAACTGTTACTATCAAAGGGCAGCGTCACTCAGCTCTTTCTGTCTCATTGAATCCCTGCTGCAGGTGTCATTGATGTCTGAGGAAGAACGTGGATGGCCCCGACTACAGCTGTAGACCTGTCCACTGCTCCTCTTAGTCACATCACAAAATGCATCCTTTGTCATGGTGTGTCCATCTCTACTCATTACGCTTTGCACCCACATCTAGCTGAGCTGATGCTGACACCTGTCTGGGCCTTCCAAATTTCTCTCAGTTACAATTTATACAGTATATTTATATCTAGCTTCTTACTCCAAATCAAACTGGACATCTGCCATACTGGACATCTACCATAAAAATGAAGTTGGGCCACTTAAAAAGCTCATGTTAATAACCTCTGTCATTTAATTCATGTATTTATCTGTTTTACATTTATTGTAATGAATAGTATATGTGAACTCCTGTCAACGATTGTATTATTTGATTTCTATTTGTTTCTTAAATTTTTTGTTCCTCTTTTTCTTTTCCCTTTTTTTGTGTTATGTAAACACTTTTATTATTGAACCTTTTAAAATTTCATTGTGGTAAGAACAATTAACATCAAGTCTACCCTATTAGCCAGATTTAAGTATACAGTACCTTATCATTGACTGCAGGTACATTGTTGAACACCAGATCAGACTTAGCTCTTTACCTATTGATTAATAACTCCTTATTTTCCCCACTGTTTGTGTGGTTTCAGTCCAATGGTCTTAGATTCCTCACGCAAGGTAAATCGTGTATCTGGCTTATTGTTTGTAGCATAAAGTCTTCAAAGCCCATTCGTGTTTAGACATGTTCCAAATATTCCTTCTTTAAAAACTGCAGTGTCTCATTGTCTACAATGTTTTAACAGTATTCGAGGTCTGGTCTGTCAGTGGCTGCCCCGTGGGTTAAAGATAAGCTCCTGCTCTCCTCTCACCCTGTCTTCACACCGGCTCCCCCCTCAAGTGACATCAGTTTCCACCACCCAGCCCCTGTCACCTCCTGCGTGTCATAGTCCACTCATATGTTACACTTATCCACCCTGAAAATCCCTCAGAAAATGTCAGAATGGTTTGTTTCTTCTGACAGACCGAGTCCCGGATGTTTTCAGTGTCCTTCCCGCTGAATCTGGGATTCGGCAGGTACGTGGTCCAGGGCAGGGGACCCCAGGCGTCCGCCTTCGCTGTGGCTCCAGGGTCAGTGCTTTTGGCTGCCCCAGGCTGTGCCCCTCCCCGAGGCCAGTCCGGGACTCAGGAAGGGATGTGTCCCTCGTTTGGCTCTCTAAGCCGTGGACTTCCAGTGAGGCTGAGTCACATTGTGCCACTTGGTGCTGGACCCAAGAGTTGATCGGCAGCAGCATGGCCATGGCCACCTCCTCTCCTGGTCGCCGCTCTGTCCCGACTCCACAGTGCTCCCTGGGCTGGGCGTGGGGCTCCTGGCCTCCTCTTTGCAGTTCTCTGGCCAGAAGGCAAGGGCTCCATTCACCCCTCAGTGGAGCACAGTTCCCAGGACTCCAGCCCCTCTGTAGCTGGGCAGAGAAAGCACTGACAGAGGCCAGCCCCTGCTCCTGGCTCGTCCTGCTATGCAGAGGTCCACTCGTGGGGCTCCAAGGGTGATGTGAAGTCAGGGATACTGGAGGGAAATCCAACTGCTAGACTTTTAACTTTTATCTTTTCCAGTCTTCCTAGTGCCGATTACTTCTGGTGGTCCTCACACTGACTGCCTCTGTGTTTTCCCCTGGGTTTTACAGCAGCAACGTGAAGGAGCATGGGGTGGGGGGGACTCTGCCTTTCCTGGAACGATAGCCCAGACTTAGACAGACAGTGAAGACCAGCCTTCCATGCAAAACCCACCGGGAAGGCTGTGAAAACCACCTGAGACACCACACAGGCTCAGAAAGGAGAGGCTGCAGCCTGTGTCCAGCTTCCAAATGAGGCCACGCTTTCAGAGTGAAGGAAAGCTCTTGGCTGCCTCAAACTGGGCGGATGCCCTGGGACGTCACACTCTCTTCTAACTGTGCTCACTGAGGCCAGCTGTGCGATCCCAAAGTCATCTGTCTGGTTATTTCCATGCAGACAATACAAATAACCTCTTGTCCCGGCACCCACACACCTGGAAGAGTGCGTTCTATCGCTCTCAGCGTCTGCGTCTGCCTGTGTGAGCGCCCTGGGAGGCTTTTATGGAAGCTAAGGACAGAGCCCCAAACGCCCACAGCGCCACAACAGGAGGGTCTCTGGGAGTCACAGGAGCTTCCTGAGCCAGAGGCCACAGAGAGACGCTGGCAGGGGAGCAGGATCCTGGCCTTGCGGGCTCCTCCCCGCCTGCGGAGACCGCAGTGATCCTGCCCAGAAACTTACAGGCCTAATTTCTACCCTTCGGCTCCCTGTAACTTTTGCACTGAAATTTCCAACAAGGGTGTTGTGTGGTGCCAAAGCCACAGTGGTCTGTGTGATGTGGCTGCCTCCCTCTGCGAAGAAAGATCCCACGGGCACCGTGCGGCCACAGGACAATGCCTTATCCAGGCAGAGCTTGGGTCATGGTCAGACCACCGGATGTGACACACACTGGGTGAGTCAGCTCAGTGCTCCTTCCCTTCACTGCTCAGGTGGGGAGCCCTCTGGTCCCAGGTCAGCCCAGCCCATCCATGCCAGCCCATCCCGTTCATCCCACCCCATCCCATCTCATCCCATACTACCCCATCCATCCCATCCCATCCATCCCATCCCATCCCATCCCATCCCATCCTATCCTACCCTATCCCATCCATCCCAGCCCACCTCAGCCCAGCCCAGCCCAGCCTATCAGGGGTGACAACATGGGAAGAGGGCTGTCCTCCAAGCAGGACCAAGCACTCTTCTGGCCGCAGGCTGACCTCTCGTAAGGAAAGCAGACACAGGAGTGGGACCAGCCTCGTCTACCAGAGACAACGCCTGGCCTCCTGCACACCACCTCACTGCCTTGGAGGACCGAAGCTGAGGCTGCGGGACACACACATGGAGGCAGGGATGCCCAGGCAGATAGCTCGAACTACAGCCTCTCCCGGCTCCATCCTGGCTGCCTTTTCGATGCTGGGTGTCCTTGTCTCCCCGACACAGCCGGGCTGATCCGTCCTTCCGCGGCCCGTCCCGCATGTATGAAGCAGCCGGTCCATTCCTGTCTCCTCTCTGGACTAAGTACTGTGGCCCCGTTTGTCCTCCGTCCAGGGACCCAGAGCAAGGTCGCGCACTGACGCTCCGCATGAAGGAGCCTGGCGCGGCTGAGCCTTGGCCTCCCCTGCTTTGCGGCCGATCTGGCAGAGACCGTCACCCCCAGGAGCGCCCCCCCACGCCACAGGGTCTCCCACTCGCGGTGCTTCTTCACCTTTGCTGTGTGTTGTGAAAGCGACCGTGCCTGCGCCTGCACGCGGCTCTTTCCCAGGCGACTGAGCGGATGTGGCGCTCGCTGGAGAGGCCGGGCCTGGCCGCAGGTGCAGCTCCCCCAGCTTCACGGCCCGAGGCCGTGGGCCACGCCTGGGCAGCAGGCTGGGCGCTCAGGGGGATGTGCGGGCGGCCGGCGCTGCGTGCGCTTTGCTAACGACGCTCTCAGCGCGCGAGGCTCCCGGCAGCATCGTCCCGGAGTGGTCACCTGCGCAGAGCAGCGGAGAGGACCACAGCCCCGCCCGCTGCGTCCCGCGGCCGCCACCTCTTTTCCGCACTCTTTTGCGCCCTCGCATGGACTAGTGAACACAGCTCAGGAAATACAAAGTGGGAAGGTACGCAGAATGACAACAGCTGCGTCAAATGGGATCGACCTCCAGCTGTAGTGCTTTGAGGACTCTCCGCACTGATTTCCACAGCAGTTGCACTGATTTACATTCTCACCAACAACATAGAAGGGTTCCTTTCTCCCCAAAGGCATGCTGGGGATTTGATTTGATTTCTTGGTGATGGCCGTGCTTTCTGGTAAGATGGACTCTTACTACTGTGACCCGTGCACACCCACGTTTATAGCAACCCAACTCATCATCGCTTAACCTTGGAAGCTGCCTGCGTGCCCCTCAACAGACAGGTGGATGAAGGAAGTGTGGTGTTTACACTCCGTGGAGCACTACGCTGCCATAAAGAAGGATAAACTCGAGTCCTTGGTAGGAAAATGGATGCACCTTGAGACCATAATGCTGAGTGACATAATTCAGACACACAAGCTTAAATAACACAGAGCTTCTTTTATATGGAAACCCGAAGTATAAATAAAAAGAAAAATAGAAGATAGACAGTAGGAAGTATGGAGACAGAGCTTTCTCAAAGGGGCAGGGGATCAAGAGACGGAGGGGAGGCGGGGTGAAAAGGGAATGCAGGTGGGCTCAGTACACACACTGGCTCCCCACCAGGGTACAAGCATGATGCACTGCAGACCGCGCTAATAAAAGCTCAAACAGTGTCAGACTTCGAGCAGCATCCCCACCGCTGGTGTCTGATACAGTGATAATTATCTGACCGCCAGTGGGCACAGCTCTGCCCGCACAGCTCCCTTTAACACGTGTCCATGGCGGAAGCAGGTGCAGGAGTCAATCAGAGGCCCTCAGTGGCAGCTTCAGAGTCGGTCTGGGGCTCCCTTGCCCACTAGGTCGGCAGGAGGGAGATGCTCTCTGCCCACTGCACGCCCGTCAGCCCCTGTCCTCCTCCTGGCACAGACAGGGAGGCTTCCAGCAGTGGCGGCCCTGCTCCCTAGACTGTGACCGCATCCCAGCGGTTCCCGACCCACCCAGTCCTTTCTGGGGAGAACGCCCGCGGGACGGCTCTCAGCTGGCTCCACGCACACCATCGTGAATGCTTCACGGGCATGTGGCAGCGCACCTGGGTCCAGAACCTTGAATTGGGCGGAACTGATTTCAAGCCTCTCCAAGTGACAGTTGGCAAAACTCTGAGAGCTTTCTTCACAAGATGAGGTAGGGATTCTGGTTCCCGGAAGGAACAGAACTTAATTAAAATGAGCTTCAGCATTTGGTTGTTCAAGGCCAAATTCACGGCGGCTTGAAGTTCAAAGACTTGGGGTCCGTTGATATAGTTGGGGCTCAAGATAAATATTCCTCTTCTGCTTTTCTTAATGATGTTCACAATGTCTTCTGCATACACTGAGGACAAAAGTAAAGACAATGATTTGCCACTGAGACGGTTAACCCTCAGGCCACAGTAACCTGACCTCCCGGGTGCAGCCTGGGGCCCCCACAGCGATGATCTTAGGTGTGGACGGAAGGAGACACGGAAGGGTGTGCTCGTGTCCCCAGCTCTCCTTTCTCCCTCTGCTCTTGGCCCGGTTACTTCTACTGCGTCCACGCTACCCACTCTTGAGGGTACATGCTTGTGTCTCCCCGGTTCACGCTGCTCCTCTTGGGCCCTGTGTCCCCAATTTCTCGAGGAGCTGAGCCCGTGGGAACTGGGCAGGCTGGACCTCTAGGGGGGCAGGGGAGGTCAACGGACTGTGGCCGGAAGTCACGTGGGTGGCTCCTGCCAAAGCGCCGCTGGGCCCCATGCTGAGAACTGCGGAGAGCAGCTCCCACAAATCAGAAGGGCCACGTCTTCGGGGAGACACAGATGGCTTCCTACCAAAAGCCTAGGAAAGACAGCTTTGCTCTGAACCGCCTCCCAGGGCGGGCGCTATATTGGTTCTTTTCCGTCCGAAAGTGGATTTTTTTAAAAACGAGCACCTCCTGGTCGCGCGTCTCCGTGGCCCGGCCCCACTGACGCCGCGTGAGCCAGGGCAGGACTAGCAGCGCGGGCACGGGCCGCCCTTGCTGCGCTGGAACCCTCCCGGGCGGGGCCCTACCTCCTCCGGGGGCCACATCTCTCTCCAGCAAGCACAAGGTGAAGCCGTATTTGTTTTCCAAGATCTCGGGAAACAGACTCAGGGCCAAGTGCTCCTCACTGAGAGGCGAGGGGTCCTCGCTGCTAAGAGCGCTCCGTCTCGCATAGGACACGAAAGCGTCAAATTCCTTTTTATCTGAGGGAGAAGAACAACACAGAATGTCAGCCCCTGACGTTTCCCCTCATCACAGTTCACGCGCAGACGCCTGACGCTGGTGGTCTAAATCTCTCTTCCCCTACAAGTGACTACATACAAACCTGCAGAGGCAGGAGATCCCAGGAGCGAGCTCACCGCATGTCAGACAGCAGAGTCAGTGTGTCAGCCGCCTAACGCACGTGGGCGGCCCCACCCCTTCATCTGCACGTAAAGCCCCAGCACACCGGCATCCTTCCGGAATCTGGAAGCCAAACCACCGAAGTTCTCCACAGTCCTAGCACCCTCTGTCTCTCCAAAGTAACTTCGGATACTCTACCTTCGCTTCAAAGCGATCATTTTGCAGCAAACCTCACACCGATCAGCAGAGGGCGCTGGGGCGCTGCGCCTGAAAACCGGGTTCTGCTTCCAGGTCTGATTGCTAAAATGAGTGTTTTTGCTAATGAGAATGGGACCAAAAGGACAGGGCATGCGCGCGATTAAGAAGCATAAAGATGTGCCGTGTCCAGGCACCGACTCCCCACCAGGCGTTGCGTCGTGTACTGCAAACATATACTCATAAAAATTTTTTAAATGTACAAAAAGATCGTTTAGGTAGCTAAATAAGCAATGCGCTAGCCGTTGCTAGTTGCTTACTATCTTGTTTGGAGATATTGCATCGGTGTTTTTATTGTTTATTGCTTTTTAAAATAAAAAAAGTCAAAAGGTGACGGGGGGGGGGGACACTGTGAGTCCTGTCTCCATTCATGCGCTGATAAAAACTTTCTGAAAGAAAATAGGAGTTCCTTGCGCGGTCACAGGAGAAGGGACACACTGAAATGCGTCCCACTAACGGGGGATGCTCCCACACAAGCTTTCTAGCCTTGAGATGAAGGACGCTGCAGGAAGAGAGGCGTGAAGTCACCCAGGGAAGCAATGAAGACATCGCTTAGACAGTGGGTTCCATGAAAACAAAAACAAAAACTATCTTTTAAAAAATAAATCAAACCAAAAGCACTTCCGGCTTACAGGTTCCCGGGAAGAGGCCTCACTAGCGAGTGCGCGGAAAGACCCGGCTGGCTCACTTCGCTATTCTGCTGTTGTCAGCATGTCAGGTTCTGCTCTTTGGTTCTGGGGATTGTTTGATTGGTTTGGTGCTGGGCGTTGAACCCAGGTTCTGATACATTTCTTGGTCTTTCCTCTGTGGTCTGCTTTCTCCGAGCAACAAAACTATGCATTAAAACTGCAAATATTCTGTCCTGGGAATAACTAAGATGAGGAAAACAAATAAACAAAAACCAAATTCCACTCTTCCCGTCTAAGGAAGCTCATGTTCGCGAACATTATTTCTTCGCTTGCATCTAAATGGACAGATACTTGTTAAGAGAAAGACACTTGTGCTTCCCTGACCTTCCCACTGCCCTACACGAGCCCTGCTCCAAAGCCCACCTCTGATGCCTTCAGCTCTAGGCATGCGACTCCACCTGTCTCTGCTTATCAACCAGGGTGGTTGTGACAACTGCGGTAGACGGTGTATGTAACAGGGCTACACTGGAGTCCCCAACAAATAACCATTGCTGGCACCTGCTGGGTTTGCCTATATGTGAAGACGCCACGCTGAAAGCTCAGCCCTGTGTGTCTCTTGCAGCAAGCTCTCACAGCCTCCTTCTGCACTGCAGCCAGCCCGGTCCTCCTGTACAGAGGAGGTGCTGAGGGCTGCACATGTTATTTGCCATATTGCCAGAGGGTAGAGGGTAGAGGGTAGAGCAGGATTATTTCCAAGTCTCACCAGTACCAAAGTAACATCATCTACGAGACTGTTGGTGAATGGAATGAAACAAAAAAGCATCTCCCCATCGAGCCCTGGTGAGAGGCTGCACGCCCCCCAGGGGTGCGACTCCCCCATCAGGAACATCCATTCCTGAGCTCCAACCTTACGCTCAGCCCCAGCAGCAGGAGCCATCCGAAATTCTTCCCCAAGATAACTCCAAGAAACAGAGCCAGCGGACAGTGACAGCACTGTCTCTTGTCCTGGCCTCAGCCCTGTATCCACGGGCTGGGAGGGACAGTCAGTGGCGACATGTGAGGCATCCTTACCCCCGAGAGTCTCATCCTTGCTCCAGTAGGTCCGGCACAGCAGCAGGATTTCAATCCAGTAGGTGTAGACAAGGACACCCGCTGCCAACACGCCCACCAGGGTCGAAGCAGTGCCGAGCAGCACGTACAGGAACACCACTGCGGGGACAGGGTGGCCGTGAGCCTTGCAGAGGCAGCAGCGGGCTGTGATCAGCTCGGGTGGCGCAGTGGGTTTCCGGTCACCTCTTCCTTCCCTGTCACATCAGTCACTGCCACGGGAACATCTTAATCAAGTCTGGTGGGAACTGACTACAGCCGGCTCTGAAGAGCTCAGGGGAGGGTGCCCTTCCTGGTTGGGGTGACTGGAAATGCCTGTCAGTCATTTTGTTTATTGTCTCCCATAATCTATGACTCCAGCACAACCCATCTGAATCCTACTCAGTGCATACTGTAAATTATTTTCTTATATTTCCATCCTTAATTGAGTGGAAACTTCCTGAGAGGAAGGAACAACTGGGATAGCAAAGAATAGCTTTCCAGTGTCTATGTCCAGAGACGAGTTGGAACATTCTTCCACTCCTCCCATTAATAGCTGGCTGCTGCACAAGCAGCCACGAGTGTGTGTCAGAATAGCTTTCAGAATGTGTGTGTATATAAAATAGCTGGGATAACTGTACTGCTGATTTCTGATGGTATATTGAAAGGGACAGTTAATGCTTAAAATTTTTTATATTTTGACCAATTTTGCATGCTTATCTCTGGTAATCTGAGCAACTGATTTGAAGACAACAATATGCAATAGAACAACCACCGGTGAATTCCTGCTATCTTGTCTAGTGAAACTCTGTATTGTCTCTGATGTTTTTTCAATAATTATTTTTTATTCTGTTTAATGGTTTGAACAGTCTTCCATCATTACATCTAGTAATATGAGCAATGTAGTTGAAGATAACAATATGTAATACAACAACCATGGTTAATTCCTATCGTTTTGTTTTGAAACCCTGTATCATTTTTAATGTTCTTGCTTTGTTTTGTTTATGTCTGTGATGTTGGTTTGTTGCTATTGTTTTTTTTTACCACTTTCTTTAAAATAAAAAAATTTTAAATCAGAAAAAAAGAAACTTCCTGAGACCAGAAACCACATCTAGCTTACCAGGGCACCGTGCACAATTCCTAAGGCAAGGTGTCTACAAACCTCTACAGAAAAGGCCACCTCCAAGAACATCCAGGAGAGTCCAGGCACACACTCAGTCTTACTTAAGCCTGACACACACTCGTGGCTGTTTGTGCAGCAGCCAGCTATTAATGGGAGGAGTGGATGAATGTTCCAACTCGTCTCTGGACATAGACACTGGAAAGCTATTCTTTGCTCAGACTTTCTACTCCAGCTCTTTACGAGGCTAAGGTCAGTGCTGGGTGTGCGTCACTCCACACACTGAGCAGGAGGACTCCTTGCCTTCTCTGTTCTCTGCCCATGGGAGCAGGAGCTACCCCACATTCAGCAGCAGGAGGTAAAGAGAAAGAGCAAAGGCAGCTGGGTTCTAGTACAATAGCGGCCGCGTGGGCGTTTGCAGAGCAAGTGTGTGGATGAAGGAGTGACAAAGAATGACAGGCTCTGCACAGAGCCTTAGTTAAGAGGTCCATGTCTGAATCATGACTTTACCGGCATTGGACAAGGTGTACAGGGGTTGAATCAGTAAGGTTCTTAAGCAGAGTCCAGCACCTAGGAAACGTGCCGTGATGCCCTTGTCATTTGTCTTAGGAGCATGCGACCCCACCCAGCGAAGCGTAAGTGCCCTCCAGTGCCTGCCGCCACCAGCTCACCTCCTCTCTTCTCCTTCAGTTGGATGGTCTGGGTCGTGTTCCCAATGGAGTTCTGGGCAAAGCACACAAACTTCCGCCTCAGATCGCTCTGCGTGACTTCTTTCAAGAAGATAACACGTTCAATGACTTCCTCCTCAAAAGTGGATTTAACACTAGGGAAGGAGGGAAATTTAATGCTAGGGAAGGAGACACCCACTGGCAGGATCTGGAGATTTTAGAGCAGCCGCGGTTCCATGTTCAGAGCCATGGGACTGGTTCAGTAGGAAGACAACAGAGGAACCAAGGTAGACAGAGTGGTGCCATCTTGCCTGACTTCCTGAGCATGAGCACTAAGACACAGTCCAATTATGGTCCCATCTGACTTTCCTTACTCCTCCGAATTCCCCTTGAGGACAGAGAACAGCAATCATTTGTAAAGGACTCACGCTTGCCCAGGGTCTACTGTGTACTGGACTCTTCTGAGAACCAGAAATGGGCTCTAATCGCCTCCATTCCTCATCTCACATGAACTCCACAAAGGAATAACGGAGCAGCCTGACCTGGCCAGTGACAGGTGACTCAGAAAGAAGCCCTCAGCTTGTACTTCTAGGAGGGGGAGCTTGGTTCCCAGACCTGAACTCTGCTGCCCCATCCATGAAGTGGTGAATCTTGGCCTTTAGTCACAATTTGGACTCTCTAAAGTTGCCTACCTCCCGGCTGCCCCCGTAAGAAGTCCTGCCGATGTGGTGATGCTTTGAGGCTGTGCTGCTGGAGCCTGTGCACCAGCTCTGGTACCCAGTGTGCTTCCTACCTGCCCTGGAGTGGCGAGCACGTCGGCCCTCCTTCTCCACTCCTGACCGGGACCTGCAGAGTGGAGGCTGTTGCCCGCAGGCTGAGGTGGACCGAGGAGCCCCTCGCCCACCCTGCCTCCTTGAACTTTCATGCACCTTCATCTCACAGTGGGAACGATGGCTTCCCTGGCCGCACAAGTCCTTGCTCCACGTTCTCATTCTTATCAAAGCTCTCCTTAACTTTCTGTGATAAGGCACACTTTTCAGAATGGTATTACACATGTTCACTGAAATATTTAAAAATTAGAAGGCACTTATTTGCTGCATAGGTCCCCCCTTTGGATCACATCTTGGGTCAATGCAGGGGTGCATCCTTAAGTGACTTGCCTGACTGGACCCAATGGACGCAAGCCACTGTCCCCTCAGAGAACAGCTGATGAGCTTCGGGGATCAGATGGCTCTGGGTCCTAGAGTTTCCCACTTTCCCTTGAGTTAAGGCTCCCCCCAGTCTGTCCCACCCACTGATCTGGGTTTATGCTGCAGACACCAGTGAACTAGGTCCACTTTCCCAGAAGACATAACAGCTCATAATATTTCAAGACAGACAGCTCCCTGCTCGGTCTCCCCTGCAGGAGTTAAGTGGTTTCCATTGTTCTCTGCACCTGTTTTCATCAGACTCTGATTAGGTCCTCTTCTCTGGGAATGTTCCAGACTGCTCATGTTTCCTGAGCCAGGATCCCGGCACACCGAATGAGTCACACTGATGAAACCACCCGCTTCCACTGGCCGGACATGGAGGTGCTACTTCTGGCCCAACAGCTGAGTCAGCACATCTGTCTGCTGGGCACCTGGGCAGCTTGATTTTCCTTCCTTGCTTCCTTCCTTCCTTCCTTCCTTCCTTCCTGCCTGCCTGCCTGCCTGCCTGCCTGCCTTTCTTCTTTCTTTCTTCCTCTTTGTTTCTTTCTTCCTTTCTCTTTCTCTCTTTCTTCCTTCCTTCCTCCCTTCTTTCCTCCATTCCTCCCTTCTTTCTTTCTTCCTTTCTTCCTTTTTTTTGTTTTAGTTTTTGAGGCAGGGTCTGGCTGTGTAGCTCAGCCTGGCCTGGAGCTCACTACGTACCCCAGGCTGGCCTTGAACTTGCTCCCGCCTCAGCCCTCTGAGTGCTGAAATTACAGGTGTGTACCACCACATTCTTCATGGGTAGCTTGATTTTTAAGGCAACCACTTCGAACTGTTGCTCCAAAGCAGACTTAAAGACCACTTTAGGGATGGGGTGTAGCTCACTGGTAGAGCTTGGTGCCCTGGACTGCTCTGGGTTAGATCCTCATCACCAAAAGCAACCAAACCCAAATAAAAACCAAAGAATGCTGTAATACAGTCATACATGGCTTGGTGACAGGTTTTGAGTGGATTTCATCATGGGAACATCAGAGTGCACTTAACAAGGGCTGAGATGGTTCTGTCAGCTCTAGTGGTGTCATCGTATGACTCCACTGTCAAGTAGGGCCCCGCAGCACCAGGCAAAACCCTGGGGCACCCAGATTTAATATTAATGCACACATTGCAGTTCTGTGTTTTTATTCTCACTACTGCGTGGCGTCGGTGACTAGCTCATTAAATACAATCCACTCTGTGTACATTTTGGTGATTTCTAAAGGTGAAAGCATCTAGTCCGTGTTTTTCTTACCTTTTCTCCTGAAATACTGGGAATTCCCACTCCTGGTCAGCATCTCTGATGTACCACCTTATCACAGGGTTAAAGTTCCGCTGGAAGCCAAATCGCACAGTGCAGGGAAGAGTTAAAGGTCTTCCTGAAAATGAGGAGGTCGGAGAAGACAGGAAGGACGCACGTGAGAACATGGGGTCTCAGGCTGGGGATGCCCAGAGGCTGCTTCCTGACACGGCCTGGTGTGCAGCTGAGACAGCAGCACCAGGATAATGGGGTGTTGAAACACCCCATTCACACACCCAGAAACCCTAGTGCTCTCGTCTCTTGTGAGCAAGTCTGTGTCTGAGACATGTGACCGTATGTTGTTAGCATGAAGGTCAGCACGATAGTACCCCAGGGTCCCAGTGGGGCCCAGGGGAAACACCAGGAAATGAGGTGTTTCTGGGACCAGCCAGGTCTTCTGCACCAATGGGGAACATTTCCGTAACCATAAGTTCAACCATAAAGAAGTTAAGTTCTTCTCAGCTCTTGTGGCTCCCCCTCATTTGTCAAGTTCCATAACACTGGTGTCTCATTTCAGAATGAAACCACAAGGTCACTGTCCAGTGTAATGAAGAAATCATGTCACACTCAGCTGCTCTTATAAACAGAGCACCCTGGGTGTGTTGTCAGACTGCCCTTCCTGGGCCCTTCCATGAGAGATCGCCAGATAGACTCTGCCTCAAACATTCTAACCATGGATGGCTCGGGACACCTTGTGGGGATTTATCTCTGCAGCTGGAGCCTCTCCACCGGTGATCTCTACAATTCGTTCGCACCATGTGTAACCTGACTATGTATTTTAAGTGATTATTTCTGCCTTCCGACTTCCTCCTATTTTCTCCACAGTTTTCATTTTATTAGTATATGTTTTTGATATACAATAGTTACATTCATTTTGGGGGATGGATGTATATCATGATCATTTCCCGACACTCTATCTACCTCACCCTGCTCCCCTCTTCTCCCCTCCAAAAGTTTGCCTCCTGTTAGCCACCACCTCTCCCTTATTTTTCTCTTTCATTTACTTATATTTTGGGTTTCTCATGTAAGAGAGAGCATCCCATGTTTAGCTTTTTATGTCTGACGTATCTCACTTATTATTGTCTCAGGATTCACCCATTTTCCTGCAAATGATACGATTTCATTCTTCTTTATGGTTGAATTTAACACCTCTCCCTTCCCCAGAAAAAATGACCCAGTAGAAAAATGGGCAAATGGGCTGAATGGATGCTGCCCCACCCTCTTCAGACATTTGCTGTACTGGTGTTGCTAGTTCTGTCCTCTGTTGAAACTTGTACCATAATACTTGTCTTTCCACATCTTTCCACAGTAATAAACCTTATATAGACATTGAAAAGCACACATATTCCATGAAAAAGAAAAACACCATTTGGTGTTAAATGCATCCGTTCTTATTCAGCTGTGGGGGAAACGCAAATGCTACGGATCTTGACAAATGAGGGGGATCCACAAGGAGTCAGTTTCCCCTCTACCCAAGCACGCACACTATTTTGGAATTCAAGTGCAGGTTGTAGTATTCCACAGAAGTTCTTTCAAAAACCAAACCAAACATCATGCTCAGAGGGCTAAAGCTACTCAAGTTGGTAAATGCATTGACACAACCAAAAATGACAACCCAGTCTTTCTTGGAAAAGCCCAGAATCTACTGGTCATGTTGAATGCACCAGCCACGGGTCACACATTGATTGTCCCATGGAAGCAACACCCTACAGGCAGTCTTGTGATGCCTAGGGACCAAACTAAAGGCTGGAGCTGAGGAGAAGCTCATAGCAGTTCAAGGCCCCAGAGCTCTTCAGGGCTGAACCACAGCCAGTTCTGCTGTCCTTGAAGGCCAGCTCTGTTTTCCTTATATCACACTTAGGCGAGTTCCTGGGAGGACAGCATCATTCAAGGTGACAGCCTGACCCAGCTTACCAAGTTCTACTTCCAGGACGTCCTTGGTAGGGTACACAATGTCTGGTTTGAACTTAGTGTCGGCCACTAAAAGATGGAAATAAAAATCATTATTTACATCAAGAAATCTGAAAACCTGCTTGCGGAAGATTTGGGGACAACTAGATCAGTATTTGGATCTAAATGTTCAATGCTGCTTATTCAAATTCAATCCACAATCCTGAAGTCCAGGAACTCAGGTCTCTGTGTATAAATCGGCTTCTGGAATGACCCGGGCACCTGGTTGTGAGCCCGTGAAGCATCACTGAGGAGCCCACGTCACATCCACCCCTGCACTCGCCTCTCGCCGATCTGCTGCCCACTGCAGACCGGACCCTGCATCTTATCTTCTACTGCAATGGCTCTTTTTGGTACTATCAGGCTGAGCCACCCGACTGGAGGGAAAACCCATGTGATAAATGTGCTTCAGCTTCCTGCCCCAAACTACCACCCTAGCCTCCCCTTCAGGCTTCCTTCTGGTCCTATCTCCCAGCAAAGGAGAGCTGCGGTCTCTGCTCTTACATCACTGGTCTGACTTCTCACAGGCCTCCCTCCTCTGGAGGTATAAATTAAGAGGAAATAAAGGAAGAAAGGAAAGAAAGAAAGAAGGAAAGAAGGAAAGAAAGAAAGAAAGAAAGAAAGAAAGAAAGAAAGAAAGAAAGAGAGAGAGAGAGAGAGAGAGAAAGAAAGAAAGAAAGAAAGAAAGAAAGAAAGAAAGAAAGAAAGAAAGAAAGAAAGAAAGAGAGAGAGAGAGAAAGAAAGAAAGGGAAAGAAGAAAAGAGACAGAAAGAAAGAAACAAGAAAGAAAGGAAAGGAGAGGAACAAGGAGGGATGAAAGGAAGGAGAGAAAAAAGGGAGGAAGGGAAAGTAACTGACACCAGTCAAACAGTCTAATAAGGGGAAGTATTATCATATTTGGAAATAATGGGAATTCATTGTTAAAGGGGTATAAATTGGCAAAACAATACCTTAATATAGTGCTACCTTTGTGACACAAAACACAAGGCAGTCTATTGCATTAATGGATGGGGATATAGCTAGAGAAAGTGTGAAAGCACCAGTGTAAAGAATATAAACACCATGACTGTGACCACTCTAAGGTAAGACAGTCTGACAGCTGTGGGGACACAGTCCCCGCAAACTAAATTCAGTGCTTTGTTTCTCTAAAAAAAGAACATGATTTTGAGCATGTGGGAAAATATTAACACATCTAACGTGGTGATGAGTACGTGGGTGTCACTTGGTACTTCTGTGTGTGAGACATTTAGTATAGCTTTAAATTCATCGCAAAGGTAAGCCAGCGGGAAATGAGTAGACAACTCAACTTGTGGTGACAGCGGGCGCATGGGACAGAACGGAGTCTCCCTGGGGGCTGGGGGCTGGTTTGATGTTCACTTCGTCCCAGGCTCTCAGGATTACATGTGCATGATCTCTCTTTTCCTTGAAAGGAAGAGGTGACTGAGGGAGATTATTTTGTTGATCAGTGAAAGTCTTGGCCCTCACGGCCCATGTCTCACTTACCGATGGTTCTCACTTTAACCACAGCTCTGGCTGTCCAGGAGCTTGCATTTGGCGACAGAGCGTAGTCACACACGTACGTGCCCTGGTGGTAGTCATAGATGTCATCCACCAGGATTGAGTCGCTCTTTTCTCCAGAGAGGACTCTTCCATTCTGGTCCAAAAGATAAAAAGAAGTTAAATACATTTCTTGAAGCAGAGAATTTGTATTCCCCTGACTCTAAGGGTGCCAGCGGAAAAACTTCACACATCTGAATCAGGAAGGAAGTGGGTCAATTTCAGATAAGGGCATGACACAAGCCATGAAGACCCTGCACGCAGCATGCGCTGTACAACTCCTGTATGAGGTAAGAGGCATTTCCTAATGCGGTGAGTGCTGTGCCGGGTGTAAAGAGAAGCCGGGCCCGATCAGCCCCCAAAGAGCTCTGCATCTGCTTTTCTCATTGCATGACTCAGGGCCCTGAGAGTGTTCTAAGAATTGATAAGTAAATGAATATTTAATAACATATATGTGTGTGCATTTCAAGTTACTATAGATTTTCTGTAAGTGAGGGTAATATATACTTTCTTCTTTTAAAAAAATCTAACTCTAGTAAGAGAATAAATTTGAGATGGGAGATATTCAGTAAATGAGCAGGTGCATAGAAGCATTACAATCAATGGCTGAAGAGTGAGAAGCAATGATTTAACTCTTGCCAGACCCAAAGTCAAGTAAGAACTGAAATGTAGGCATCACCAGAACTCTGCCTAGCTCAGGATCTATAGTGACTCCCTTCCCCCTCGGGTGAGCCTCAAGGTCCTCACGTCTGTGCTCTCTCGCTTCCCGCCATGGTCCACCACCTTTGCCCTTCCTGGAGGAGCCAGGGCTGTGCCTGGCCCCCAACCTGGCCTCTGCGCCTTGTTCCCTGCAGGCCGAAGCTCAGGCTGCAGCCCGGCTCCAGAGGCGGTGCCTGTGCTCCTGCGGAATCAGCCACTTCCTATCCCCAGGGCAGTGCACAGGTGGCCAGTTCTGTGTGTGCAGGCCAGGGAACGTCCTTCCCTGGAGTTGGTGAAGACAGCCTTGGTGCCTGAACATCCAGCTGTTCCTGAGGAATAAACACAGCTCCTGCCAGCGGGTGTGCAGCCCAACTTCAGGCCCTAAGGAGTCAGGAGGCCATGCGGGGCCTCGGCTTCCATGGAGCAGTGTGCTCCTGGAGTCTATGCAGAGCCTTGAAGGATGTGTGAGAGTCAGGGGAAGGTGAGGGTCATTTTAGGAGCAGCTGAGGCAAAGGACGTACAAGGGGGGATCAAAATATGTGAGTGTTTAAACTTTTAAAAAATTACTACAGTACAAGACACATTCTCATTAACTCCTCTCATGCTTGCTTGGAACACATTTATCCCATCATTCTTGCCACTTTCTGAAGCAGTTCTGGAAGTTCTCTTTCATGAATTTCTTTATGAGGAATGATCAGAAATAGAGTGAATGCTGCTATCCAAGGGAAAGGCAAGCTTGTAAAAACATGACAGTGTTCTCGTCCACCTTATTTATGACTTCTGGCTCTTCCCCAAAGACAAAATAACCATGAAAGAGAAATGTTTTTCATCCATTTGGGACAAGGAGGCAGCTACAACAGTGCCACTAAAGATACTCACGGAAGAGGACTTCCAGAATTGCTACAGAAAGTGGCAGGAACAATAGGATAAGTGTTGGAAGTCAGCAGGAGTATTTTGAGAGAACCACATGACAGTGTGTCTTATTGTGACACAATGTGGTAAAAAATTTAAACAGTATGTTTTCTCACACCTCTCATATGGAGATAAGCAAAGGTAGGAGTGCTGGTGGCCTTTGGAAGCAGCCATGCTTGGTCTCTGTCTGCCCAGTAGGTGGTAGGTGGGATGGAACCGGGATCTTGTGCAGGCTACTTGAACACATGAAGGTACAAGGAGAAGAAAGGTTTCAGGCAGGAGGTCGAGTGACCAGGCATTTAAAAAAGAAGTGCATGACAGCTAGGTGTGGAAACTCACAGAAATGTAAGCAGAGGTGGTCACAGCCACCTTCACGTCAACAAGGGTAAGGACACAGTGGGAACACAGGAACCCCTGGTTATCACTGCCGTCGGATGGGCCAGTGTGTCAACCCTGACCTCCGGTATAATAAAGTTTCCATGGTGCTTGGTCTTCAAGTTTCCAAGAGGGCCAGCAGCAGAGCTCTTATAACTAGAGTTGACAGAAGAGAGATAACCCACAAAATACAAGATGAGATTCTCTTATCTAAAGAGATAACAGCATCCTTTCTCATACATTATCGCACACATGATTTTCCAAAGGCTTCTCTGACTTCCTTCATAGAGATTCTGTTTCTTTCCTTCTGTAAATGAGGAAAAAATTTCTGAAAGATTCTAGAGTGAAAGTCAGTAAGAGAACTGAGAATCAGCCAAAGTTTTTCAGTTTCATGTCTGCTTGAGGAATTTCCCTTCATTTTGCCTTCCAGCCAGTAGAAACTGGGATTCCCCCAGTCTGAGTGTCTGGTACAATTCCTGTGGCCCAAAAGGTCACTTGCAGTCGGGGGCAAAAAGTGTTGGAGGAGAATCAGACTGGCCAGAGAGGGCAGCTAGAGGGAGAAAGAAAAACAAGGGCAAGAGGTGGGGACAGACAAGCTAAATATTTACCAGCTGATCTCCAGGATCAAGGCCACCTCAGAAGCAAAGCTAAGAACTGGGGATGATTCAGGGATAAAAACTCAGAGAGCACAGTAATGGCAAAGAACAGAATTCATGTGGGGCGAAGGGGTCAGTCACAAGAGAGAGTACAGAGGAGCCATAGGACCTCAGTGGAGCTACTGGGAGGACTACAAGGCAGAGCGGCCCTGGGTTTTAATCAGTGAAGGGTAGGTATGGCTTACTGTGTATCATTAAGACTTTATGAGATAGAATGCAAAGGAAATGTGAAGAAAAGAAATGAGGAAACAGGAATTTAGGGCAAGGATGATAAGAAACCCATCAAATAATGCAAACATAGATGATCCTAGTAGGAAAGGTGGTCCTCAGGCAGCTGCCTGGGGAGTTCTGTTTCCCTCAAATGTGAACCAGTCAAGAAATATAGAAGGAACATTCACAGTGTGGATCACACGGGTGGCATCAGTGAGTCCTAGAAAGAACTGAGGTGTGTGTTATGCTTTATATCTAGATCTCCCGCAAAGCCTCGTGCTTATAGGCAGGGCTTCTGGGAGGTGATTGGATCATGGGAGTCTGATACTCATCAGTGGATTAGTCCACCAATGACCTTACAGCTGAGTATGATGTTAGGAGGTGAAGCCTGGTAGAAAGTGGTGGGTCACTGGGGCATGGCCTAGAAGGGTCTATCTCCCTTCTCCTCCCTTGATCATTCTCTGCTTCCTTCCTGCCCTGCCATGGACTGTTCCTCCTCCGTCAGTCCCCTCTGCCATACTGCTCTGCCTTGGAGCTGGCTGGTTATGGATTGAAACCTCTACAAACTGTGAGCTAAAATAAACCTTTCCTCCTTTAACTTGTGGGTGTCAGATCATGTGTCTCAGCAAGAAGAAAGTAACTAAGTGTGCAAAAAACAGATAAATACCTGAAGATATTATACGACTTTTAATGACATGTGTCAATCAAGAAGAAGAGCAAAGTTCCTCTTACTAATTGGGGTTGTGATTGCAATTTTATACAATAGTGACATGAAGCTCTACTACCCACCAGGCAGGACAGTGCTGGGGAGCACCATGCCCAAGAACGATCCCACAGGAGCAACACTCCCTAAAAGTAGGTAACACATTGGTATTCCCACCTGGGGTTCTACCATGCTGTGGTGATGGGGGCTTCCAGGATTTTGGCTTCTAGCCCTGTTTTGTATAATGGATTTTAGGTTTCCATGTATGTTTCAATATTTAATACATCATAGACTCACTATGTCCAGATCTGTATGCATCACCTCTAACTAAATCAACTTCTCCTTCCTCCAATTTGGTAATATATTTTGAGCCTGCAAATATACTTTGAGCTACAAAATATTATAATGACATCTTTAACACCCTCATCATCTAAGCATGTAATCTTTTCTTTTATGCCCTGGAAATATCATTAGCATCTAGCACCACCATTCTCTTCCCATGCTATGAATGAGGACTCAGACTTGTAAAGCTCAAAGACACCAACAGGGTCCCAATAACCACCTCACATGAACAACCCACAGACTTAATTTCCAGTCTCACCCTAATCCTGAGCTGCTCCTCAAGCACTGAACATGGCCTTTATTTTTCTGGTGTTGTTGTTTCTGTCCCTTATGTTTTTCTTTTTTGCTGAGTGTAGCAACAGCCTTTTGCCCAAATTACCTGACAACATTATATTTACACACAAATACTGAACTAATATTTATCTTTTAGTGACAAGTGATGTATTAAATTATTGATGATCGGCCAGATGTCAATCCCGAGCCAAAGACTTGAGTGGATGAGTAAGCAGATGGTTATGAACACTTAGAAAAAGGAAATGAGTATTAATATCAGACAACTTTCATTCACTAGGAGCAACCACACCAAAGTCATCTCATTTTCCTCTGTAATTGAAGAGTTAGACCAGAGTTTCAGAGGAAGGCAGCAGGCACATCACATTTTTATTGTAGCATAAAATTTGGAAAATACTTTCATGGTCTCCCTGTTGCACAAGATACTTCTGGGCTGAATTAGAAGACCTTTGAGTGTGTCTTCAGCTAAATGAGCAGCAAGACCCCAAAGCAGTGGGTTAATGGGCCATCTGCAGCTAGCAGTGTCACCTGAGTCAGCAACTAAGATCCCTGGCTTAACACTTGCTTGTTCAGTGCTTTTAACAAGTGTTTGAGGGATCACATATGGTGCATGTTTATCTCATCTATGAGTTTCACAAATCTGGCAATGATAGATACCATGTCAGAACTTAAAATCAGAATTTCAATTTCTTGACGTGTACACTAATGAGTTGACACAAACAAATGAGAATTTAACAGGAATAAAGTGCAATAGTGAATATGGGTTAGAAATTCTATTCTACTTGCCAAAACTGAGGGAGTGCTCATACAACTGCTTGATTGCAGTTCTTGTGAAAAAGTCCCGCCTGCCCACTTGGAATGATTCAACTGTTAATAGAGCCACCCCAAACCTGGGAGCAATTGTAGGCT